GGATCGTCACTGTGATACTTCATGCTGACGTTCTTCAAGATCAATTGTCCTTGGGACGGCCATGTAGACGGCGGCGGATCGTCCGAGGTAATGGAACCCTCCTGGGGAAGATTCGTGTATTGGAGTAGTCTTTCTACGGAGGTCATCAGCGACATCGTCTCGGAAAACTGCTTTATGCCATATTGCCAGTGACCGATTAAAATCATCGATTGCGATATTGCCAGACCTACTTTACTGTCCTCTACACTGTCTGTATCATGAAGATAAACGAAAAAATTAGTAATAGCTCAATGATTCCTCACGATCGTCGAAATGTATTTTCCAACACCGCAGAAATAAAGAATCTTCATACTAAAGCTTAAATCCCAAAAGATTCTATTAATTTGTTGTAGCTTTTTGTATCTTCTCCAAATATTTCGAAGTTGTGAAAACTATTTAGGGCCACTTCAACCAAACTCCGATTAACGTCATCGTTGATTAGTCCATTGGAAATGACCAATCGTCGATTGGATCAGAATTTGGTCGAAATGGCCCTTAATCTTCAAGAAGAATGTTTTAAATAATTATAATTTACCATTCTCATTCATCAATACTAGGGAGAAGCAAATCAAGGCGAGGAACAGGCACAAAATTAGATCCGTAAAGACACCGAAGGCTGCCGAACTTGTTATAAAGAGGTACCACGTGCCGCTGTGATGGTCTTGCAACATGTCGAACTGTTTTCGCATCATCTTCTCGATTTCGACGCCGCCGCTTCTAATCGTCGGTAGGCCGTTCAGCGTAGCATTCACATGTGAGAATAACGGGCTTTTGGCTGAAAACGCAAACGCAAATTTAAACTGGAACTTACAAATTCTGCGTGAGAACATACAGATCCAAGTTTGATGGCAAAAGTCAAACAGAATCTAGGAGTTAAGAAATAAATGAGTCGTGCGTATTCCGTCTCGTTCTTTCTAATAAATAGTATATTGTTCCAATACTTACTTACGCCTTCGAGACGTTTGACGTTTTGAGCGATTTTCAGGTAGAATATCGTCGCGAAGTAAAACAAGATGACCAGTACTGCTATCGGTATCAGCATCCATTGATTAATTATAGCCTCCATGGTTAATACACCGCATATTGTGAAAACCACTTGAAACGCCTCTAACATAATTTTGGGCAGGTATTCGTCTACGGTGCCCAAGTCTTTCGAAAATCTGTTTAAAATTCTCCCTGGAACAAAAAACCTATAAATTTAAACAAGGCTTAAACATCTGGGAATTAAAACCGTTGTTTCAATGATTTACATTTCTGACACTATAAATATTCGAAGAAGGATCTATGCCAATCGTCCCGCATCATAGCTCTTTATGAATAAGGAGAAAAATAAAAACCACCCGACAAATTCAAACTCGACTAAAATTTGTCAGTCTTGTTTCTTCCGGATTTAAAAATTTGTAAACTCTTCAAAATTTCTTTTTGGAGCAACAATTTCCTTTGCCTATTGTAATCTTGCGATTATTGCTCACCAGAAGGATTAGTGTGGAAGAATGACATGCGCGCCTGCAACAGGTTGGAGAACATGGAATTGTGGAGGTTGTAGCTCGATTTCATGCAGATTTTCATAAAGAGGAAGCTGCGAAGCAAAGTGGTAGCAATACAGGCGATGATGCAGAATGTGTATACGTATATAGCATCCACAGTACTGAGCAGGCCGTCTGGGTTCAGCGTGAAGATCGACCCAAGGAAACTATCGTTGTACATGTTTGCGAACTGTTTGGCCTGACTAGAGTTTTCAATGCGCCTAACATCCTCCAAGTGGGTCCAATATGAGAGCCAATAATCATTCCCTGTTGTTGCAACCTGACTGATGGCGAAGAGCAGCAGCAATATGAACAGGGTAAAGTAGTTGCGCCGTGATGGAAATATTTCTTGTACACTTTGCCAGACATTTGGCCGCGTGCTATTATTTCGGCTTCCGAGCTGTTCTCCGCATAATCCGAATCGCCAATGTCCGAATGCTGCGCGAAAACAAAATAACAATCTAATTACTTGACTTTTGCAACGGACGCAGCTCGATAGAGATAGTCGCGCTATGATCATAAAAAATATTAAGAAAACAATATGTTAAGAAAATTAACGAATATTTAGGAACCACTTAACTTCTCTGGTTATAGCATACTCTTCGGGAATTTTTTTAAATTTACTTTGTTAGTTGCTAATCAGTAACTAAATTTGTATTAATTATCTTTAGCGCGAACATATGTCATATAAATATACTTTTTTCAATTATTTTGTCTCGTTACGAATGTATTTGTGTTAAACAAATTTTATATATGAAAAATTTTGACGGTTCCCGTTTTTTAATTAAAAAGGGCGAGAGATAAGGTTTATCTTACAATGGAACTCGCGGTCGATAATTCCGAATCACGTCGCGTTATCGACATTTGTCTCGTAGATATTTCCAAGGTTCTTCTCGTGTTCTGTTCATTCTTCTGTGCTTCGTGACTCAAATTGTCCAACATTCCAATAAAATCTACTAATTCGTTATAGATTCCTTGCATCTTCACAAAACCCTTTAGAAATAAAATCAAGATGTTTAAGTATTTCTTGTAATTATTTATGATTTAGATATAAATTTATAAATATTTGAATTTTAAAACGGTAAAACTGCATAAAAGGTCACATCTCACCGATTTCAAAGTTACTTAAATATGTTGTATGAGAGATTTTTCAGAGTAATTCTTTGCCAGAAAATAAAGAGGACGCCATTTACTTTTTTTCTTGCAAAGAATTACTCAGAAGAACCTCCATTACAACATATTTAAGTAGCGTTAAAATCAGTGAAACGTGACCTTTTATGCAGTTTTACCTTTAAAACTTTTAATATAAATTCAAAAACTTTTTATTATATTTATCTATTTAAGAATTAAGGCTCCTGATCCCTAAGTCGAGAACTCTACGTTGACTATGGGGCTCCAATAAAAATCGCAATTTTGTCCCATTTTTGTACTTGATATTGTTTAAATAAATCATTAAAAAATTGAAAAAAGATATAAACAGAAAATCTTAAAAAACCGTAATTGCTATTCTCGATGTCATAGAAGTACCATAAAAATTTCATTCATTTTTACCGTACATGAGCAGAGATACATATTATGATATTTACATGGGATGTATATCTATTACATATATATACAATTTTTGTAACTTTTAAAGCAAATATCTCAGAAACGGGTCGGACAATCGATCGCAAATTTAACACAGGTTTTTGGGATATATAAGTGCACAATCTCTGTAAATTTCAGCTTTATCCCTTTATTTTGACATAAGCGACATACCGTTTTTTTTCAATATTTAATTAAGTGTTCGCGCATCTATCGATCGACTGCGTTCTACTTTGGTTCTCACTGTTTTAAATATTTTGACAAACTGAATAAATGTACGAAAGTGAAATTTTGAGGTATACTTTTACTTTATGGTATACTAGCTGGTTACCCGGGCTTCGCCCCGGTAATGAAAAATTATACACTCTATAGCACTCGCCGGAAAATTCTACCCCTATTTTATATATGGTCTTAATACAAAATCTGTCCAGCCGTTCTTGAGTTATAAATGGTGTAACTAACCCGACTTTGTTTTATTTATATATATAGATTTATAGAAAAAATGGTTATTATTAAAAATTTTTTATTAATAATGCTGCCATCTTTTGTTAATTTTTTATTCCATTTCTTTCAGGTGGTTCATGCATTTAGGTCATATGTACATACTTAGCCCGGAAAATTTAATATGAAATGAAAGATTAACGTTCCTCGAGTGTGTCTGAAAAATTTTGGATTTTTTAACCGATTGGTTCCGGAGATATATATGTCCGTAAACTTTGCCAATTTAACGCGGTGGGGGGACCCTTATCCGAAAAACGAGGTTAAAGCGCTTATGCTGCAAAAATTGCAATACTCAAAACTAGATAAACGAACCAAAAACTGACGAAACGATGCAATAAACATTTTGCAAGATATTGGATGAAAGCCCGAGTTCATTGACCGTACCATATATTAATAAAACGTAATTTTCGATTGACTAAATCGACAACACGGAACTGACGGCTGGACTCGAGCGGCATTAGCGGCAGCTTGGCATCGTCGCATGTGTCAGCTGATGAGTATAGCGCATATCTCAAAACATTCGTTTACCATGTTCTGGACGCTGAATAAAGCAAAGGGTGAAATAAAAATATTCGTCCATTTCTGAAAAAAATTAAAATTAGGTTGCATCAAGATCTGCAATACTGAATAAATACAAGTTTCAATACAATGAGGTTATAAAATGTCCAAATAATTTTAACATGCATTTATTCGTTGCCGCGCTGCTGTTGTACATATATTCACACGGCTCACAACTCTAGAAAAAGATGTGACTTTTGTCTCAATATTTTAATTACGTAAAGGTCGTATAAAGATGTCATAAATAATAAATCTAATTATATATGCTGATTTTTACGGACAAAAATCACACTTATTTATCAGTAATAAAAATAGTTGCCTATTTGACTTGCAAGTACTGCATGAACCACCTTAAGATTTCTATATACTTAGCTAAAGTTTGCCTTGATCAGACCACCGAGAACCGAGAAATTATTGCAAAACAAAAAAGAGTGGAGTACATTTCAGCTATATATATATATATATATATGTCATATATATCACATATCGTATATTTATATTGTGGCGATTACATCGGCACATTCAGATGGCAAAGAACGAAACATAGGCTCTTACGTCTATCGTAGTCATAGACTTTGTCACCGCCGGGTGAACAACCCAAACGCTCAGGCAGAGAAAAACACCGAGACGATAAACATAGTAGACAGCTAATGATCACAATGCATTAAAAAATATTCTATTTCTTTTCATTTGCACACTTTTTTAAATTTCAAATTTAACCTTTTTATGAATTCATAGAGAGTCAATAGTAGCACAAGTGGTGTTTCACAATCGACGTAATTAATTACATATCTCTGACTTTTAATACTCTGTACATTTACCTAATATTGTTTCCACACTCTCCCTTTTTTCAGATTTCGCATCTATCTAAAATAGGTGGAAAAAATTCCAAAAAAATCACGATGGTAATCATGGGAAGAATCATCCATTGCACTCTCGCAACAAAATATAGTTGGAAAGGAGGAAAAAGCAAACGACAATTTTGTTTTTTTAATGGATTGCTGATTGCCGTCATTTGTAAGCTTGCAAGTTATTTTATTATTTATAATTTTTACTTTGTGTTATTAAAAGCGTCGTGATTACCAAATCTTATGTATACAGCTGTTTTGTAAGGCAAAATTTTAAGATAATGATAGCTCATCGTTTTTTCTTTTTTGATTATGTTTATTCTTATCTGTGTAGGTGCAACTAGGCATACTAAACATATAGATACAATGGTGTCACCTGATGCTACTGAGAAAGATGTTATTACAGGTATCAAAGAGTTTCTTCAAGAGTTTCAGTCAATTGGCCGAGCTAAAACGTAAGTAACTTACTGTATTAATCTCTTTTTTCGTTTATGTTAATTCTAATTTCTTTTTATTCTTGACAGATGGGAAGCAAAGCAGCAGAATGAAAGAAATCCAGATCTTCATGAACATATGTCTGAAACGGAAGAAACCTCTATTTTGAATAAAAGTGAATGAAAGGTGAACAAAGTGAAGCTTCTTTAACTGATGTGGAAGATGATAGTAACAAGCACCTTTCCGATATTAATAATAAAAAACTAGTTCTTTATGTTAAAGAGTCAGATGATGATTCGTCATAGTAGCCTATAATGTCATTAAAAAAAAATTAACGAATGTATAGTGTTTTTATTTTTCCTCACAGAGTAATACTACAGAATATAAAAAAGATTTTAGTTATATATAATGCATTGTAATATGCTTTGCATTATACAACTTTATTTATTTTAATTTTGTGTTTTTATGTGACACTAAAGTTTATTATCATATTATATAATATGCTGTGATATTAACATGTATGAGAGATAGATATAATTATATATATTTTTTTTAACTGTTTTATTAAATAATTTTTTGTAAAGAACGACTTTTCTATATATGACACCTGACACTTATTCCTTAATATTGCATATATAATTTAATACTAGATACAATAATATTGAATATTACTATATTATATATATTATATATAACATATCTGTTTTTAATGAGGTATAGATATCCGATATACATGCAGAATCAGATATCATATCTGGAGATGAAATTATCTCTAGCTTTTTACGAACTTGAAGATGTCTTTAAGATATTCTCATGATATCTTGCGCAATCAGATATTCCGTCATTCAGATATCTTCTAGATATCTTAGAGATATATTTTGCTGTGTGGGTACATAACACTAAACATTATTGCATTTAGCATTTATCTTATCTCACGCGTGACAGTGTATCTACGCGATTTGCAGACACGAGTCTCTCCCTGAAAGTAGAGATGCCAGATTCCCAGTATGCGCCGAGTAAGGTCATTCTATAGGGGGTTTTATTAGTCGGTAAGAATCCGACATACCTCCTGGTCCTTCCCTGGAGACCTCGGGGACCTCCAAGTTCACCAGAATTTACTATCGTCACGATAGCAAAGTCACTGAATGACGGCACCTGCATACACAGTAAAAAATTTAATGTCAATGAAAGTCCACTCTAAATTTTGTGTTAAAATAACTCATTCATTGTGTTATTTTTTACATTTAGAAATGTTATATCGACATTTTTTAGTCGATATAACATTTCTAAATGTAAAAAAATAACATGATAAATGAGTTATTTTAACACAAAATTTAGAGTGGACTTCCATTGACATTAAATTTGTTACAGTGTACTAATGAAGATAAGACACTACTCGTTCCAGAAACAGGTTTATCTCTTTATGCAACACGCATTAAAGTATGGCGCGTACGACTTTTTTATCATGAAAGATCAATCAGTGATTTTGCCAAAAGCTCAATAATGCCAGGAAGTATTTAATTTTGTATAAAATAAATTGTTTAGTTTTACTTTAACCGAATAATAAAGTAGTTTACTTTAGCCATACTTTATTTTGCCTTTTACCGAAAAAAATAAATCGTTCTCCTTCTCTTTCGTTACGCAAGCGTTACGCAAGCGTCCTTGCTGTTAAAAGAGAGAGGACGCGTGCTCTTACGGCAGGGGCCGAAGTTTATGGGCAGAGCATCTCTGCTTAAGACCATTGCTCGTAACAAAGTTTTAGTCATAATCGTAAGACTGTAAGAAAATAGACCAATCACAGTCGATTATTCTCCTTGAGCTCAAAGAATAATCGAGTGTGATTGGTCTATTTTCTTATATGGCCTTACGATTATTATGACTAAAACTTTGTTACGTGCAATGGCCTTTATTCTCTGCGGCTCTCAGACGTAAATTATCCTCCAGAGCAAATGAAGCATCTCGTGGTATTACGATGGCAAATACAAGTGACCACGACGACAGTGTAGAGTATTACGCTTTGCGTGAAAAGCTGGATAGTGCGGATAAGTTATATGCAGCGACACATTTGAAGACTGATGAGACTAGAGCGAACGC